GTCAATTCAGATGAGATAGCAAAAAAACTGTAGAGTGTAGATTTACTGTTGCGTTTCATTTCGTAGCATTAAGGTAAACGGTGAAAGACTGGATTTGTTGGCGAATAAAAAGACCCTAAACAAAGTGTGCGCTCAGTTGTTCTCCATTAAATTCTCCTTCAGGTTTCTGTTTGAGCGGCATAGCATCTCCTAGCGCTCGACGTACAGCTTTATATTTGCTGATTTCTTTTTTTTTTCAGACACCTCATAGTCTTTCTATTTTTCTATATTTTCTTTTTTTCCTTGTCTTTTTGCATAACAAGTCTGTAGGGAAAGGGAGACAGGCATTGTTTTGTTTTCTTCCATGGTTTCGCATCATTATTCGTCCTATTGTGCTTCAGTATTTCTTTTCAACTTTTCTTTTCCCATCTAATAACCCGACTATTCTATATGAATTACATAATTTGACAGTGGCCGTGAAACTAGTAAAAAAGCTTATTAAAACTGGTAGATGTTAGTTTGAAAAAAAAAATTGAAGCCGATTTCGTTCTCTTTTATGCCGTCTTCACTGTCTCTGTTTTCGTGTATTTTGGAGTTCCTTCCTGGAGTAAATGTGTATTTTGAAACTGTAGAGAGCTAAAATTTGTATTTTCTTACAGTAGCTTGGGAAAAGAGAACAAAAATGAAACAATAAGTTTGACGTATGTTATGTAAAATGTTGAAGAGATAAAGAGGATGGAAGAAGATGATGGTGACGATGATGATGAAAGAATAACGAATGAAGAAAATGAAGGAAGAGGGCAAGAAAGAAAAAAAAAGGAAATTTTAAAATTAATCAACAATTTCAAAAACAAGTTTTTATAGCAACAGTTAAATGTACAACAACTACAGTACTTTTATGACTTTTACCTTTACACACTTTTCTGGAGCCTTCTTCACACAAATTTTCACTTGGCAGTTTAATGCAGTCATACCTTTAAATAAATAAGGCAAAAGAAAAGTTTTTTTATTTGATATTGCAATATTCTTCCAAGTTAAAAACACTGAATAATAGCCAATCAAATGGCGATGATAATTGTGCTCATGCGGTCAACAACATTTTCCATGTGCGTGTGTGTGGACGAAGTAAATAAAAGTTAGGATTCCTGAACTTGCTTATGCTATTGTTATTGTAAAGCGATATTGAAGTTTCTAAGCACAGTTGATTGGCACTTCATGAAAAACTGTCGGTACTCTGAATTGATCAAAGTGCCGAGGTTATTTCATGTCATTTATTTGGTAGGAAGTTGAGCTGTGCACTACGGGGGATAAGAATACGATTATGTAGGCAACAAGTTCAGAAAGCACAGAAGTTAGTGGTGGCGAGTCTGCATTATTTGTAATTTCTTTTTTTTCTTCTTCTTCCTTTTTTCTTTTCTTTGATTTGAACAATAATATAATACATCTGAGAGACGACAACGGGGTACGAAACACAGTCGGGTGTTTTTGCCGTCGGTTTGCCTTGCTTTTGTGGCCTCATCCGTCGGTCCTCCTTCTCCTGCCTTGTCCGTAGTTATAGAGACTGTGTTGTCGGCCATCACTTTGTGCTGTTTGCCTCTGTTTTGTTGTACTGGGCACAGTAAAATTTTTCTGGCAAAGATTTTGTTTTATTACCAGTCCTATAGAGAAATTTACAGTCACCATCATCTGCATCACCAGCATCGCCATCGTCGTCATTGATACTCCTCTTCCTGTGGCTCAAGAATTTTCTTTATTTTTAAAATTTATTTATACTTCTATTTTTTTTGCCGATGCGCTCTAAATATTACATATGGGTTTGTATGTATGTATGTTTGTTTGTTTGTATGTGTGTATGTATGTGTTTTGATGTATGTATGTTTTTAAAGCGCACATATAAGTCCCGATTCTTTAAAGTAGACAATTTTTTGCCAAGCATCATCTTCATCTTGTTAGCATCCTCAAGTCTGCCAGCATCGTTTGGCTTAAAATAAACTGCTCAACAATATCAACAACCCCCCGGTCTGTTGTTGTAGTAAAAAGAGCGGTTAGTATACGTACCGTCACGGTCATAGCTCAGTTTTTGTCCATCGTCATCATCGTCAACACCACCATCACCATCACCTGCATCATCAGCATCGCCATCATCTTCATTTGACCACTATAGCGCTACTGTTAGTGCTGCCCTTACACTTTGTTCGGTTTTTCGTTTTCTTTTCCAAGTGACTGTTACTTGGGAAAGGTGCTAAATTACAAAAGTTTCTTTTACTATCACTGGCAATTACCGAAAATATATAAGTAACTACGTGAACATATAATCATATACACATTTTCATATTTAAATTAATTTATTGAAGGAAATTGGGTATTTTAAATCATCAATAATACTTTGCTGTTGTTATCGATTATATTAGCTGTAGTAAGGAAGAAAAAAAAGAAGGAAGTAAATTTTGGTAAAATTATAGCATTTCTTTCTCTCACTGGTCAACTACTTATTGACAGCAACAAATTGAACTACTTATCAACTATTTAGCTGCTCAACTAGACGACTTATACAAAATATTTTGGTGCTATATTTGATATCATAATTTTCTATGCTACTCTTAATTGTTGCTGTATTATTTGGTATTTCATTATTGTCAACTGCTCAGTATGATACAGAATGCAAATTTAAAAGTAATATAACAGGTAAAGCAATTTTCAGTTTTACCTTTCATGTTTTTATAAGGTCTTCTTTTTTTTTTGTTGTTGTTTTGTTCTGTTTTCACTTTTTGTTTTGTTTCGCTTGAAATAATCCTCAACTTGTAAGATATTAGACAGTTCGTTTTGACTGTTCAGTTTAATTTATATAAGGAGCAGTCGAGAAAAAAAAGGAAGTGGAAAAAGGGGATGGTGAAGATGAGGGAAGGAGGGACAGGGCAAAAGGAATTTTTTAAACATTTGAAAGAAAAGAATAAAATCAATCAACGTGTTTTTTTTTTTTTCAACAGAAACATCAAAATAATTATGGAAACTAAACTTTCAAATGTCAAGTTGCTGTTTGCTGCTGATTTTTTTTCCTCTTTTTTCTACTCTTTATGTTGGGTATTGCAAGGAAAGGAGAATCCATAGACAATTCAGAAAGCATCAGAACAGAATTGTGTGTATCAAACAAACAGATCGGTTTTGGTTGTGTCGGTCATTTCAATCAAATTTTTTTTAATGCAAAACTTTTTGTGGTATTATTTTGAGTTTTCTATTTTTCTTTTATTTTCAACTTTATCAGTTTTTTGGGGAGGAGAGGGGAGTGAGGGTGGAGAAAGGGATAGAAAGGGACTAGACAGGGACTTTTTTTCTACTCAATAAGAAATTTGATATGAAATTTTGCTGCTGCTGCTGCTGCTGCAACAGCAGAACAAGTTGCCGTTTGCTGTTGCGGTGACTATTGCACGTCACTTTTTGATATGTACACTGGTGGAATATTAGTGGTGTTTCCAGAAGGCAACAGGAAAAAAAAAACTAAGTGGAAAGCTAAAATTAATGACGAAGAAGATGGAAAAGGTGAAAAAAATGATGAAAAGAAGAAAAAAAAAGCGAAGAACAAAAGAATCAACTCAGTTAATAAGAAACAGTTCAAAAAAAAGCAATTTGATCACTTTCCTCCCCATCTCCCCCTTCCAAAAAGCAGTTTTTTTTT